TTCTCAACCTCTTCGTGCCACCACCAGTCACGGCCCTTTGTCATGGGCACATCGGCGCCGGTGCGCTTGTAGACGAGGACGTGGGACACATCGGGGCACTGCTTCAAGGCATCGTCGACAATCTTCTTCGTGCCGATCAACTTGCCGCCACGCTTACCCTCATCAGTGGTGATGACGACCTTTGAGTTGCCGTCAATGACACGATCACGGAGAGAGTCGGCGGAGAAACCGGCAAAGACGACGGAGTGGACGGCGCCGATACGGACGCAAGCGAGGAGAGCAATGATGGCCTCAGGAATCATGGGCAGGTAGATGGCAACGGTGTCTCCCTTGCGCACGCCCATCTGCTTCAGAACCCAGGCGGTGCGTGAGACCTCGCGGAGCAGCTCGCCATAGGTGACATTGCGGCCTTCGCCAGGCTCGTCGGCCTCGTAGATGATGGCAACGCGGTTGGGGTCCTTGAAGGCGTGACGGTCGACACAGTTGTAGCAGGCGTTGAGCTGGCCCTCAACAAACCAAGCGCTATCACCACCGGCCAGGGAACCGGAGTAGACGGTCTGGAAATCGCTGAACCAAGACAGGAGCTCGCGGGCTTTGGTGCCCCAGAAGGCCTTTGGGTCGGTGATGGATTCCTTGTACAACTTTTGGTAGTCCTCGAGACCTGCAGCAGGGGAGAGGAAGGGGGAGCTCCGGTCAGCCAATGAAGAGGGGAGGAATTGGGGTAAAGAGGGGAAGATGGCTTACTGCTCAAGTGGGGCTTGCTGGGGTGCTCTGCGGGAAGGAGACAGAATTGTTAGCCCAAAATGTCCAATCAGTAGCTCCGAATTGCGCTGCCCCTCCTTCTTTCTCCCATGGAAAGTACAAAGTACTTGATGGGGATCCATAGGGTTGACCACAGTAACCACAACCCCCTGCAGCCACTATGGGCAATCTCCAGTGCCCCTCACGCGACTTTCGGACGGCAACAGGCCATGGAACTGGGTCTGACTCTTGGGTGTCTGGGTCTGGAATCTGGCTTCTGCAAATCGGCGGCGCACTTACTGTCAAGCATCTTTTGGGGGGGATCTGTTGGGATTCAAAATTAGCCATGGTGATTCTCCCAACAGACATGCAAATGAAACCATTTGGTCGAAGCCAGAGCAGTCAGGCTTTGCGTTGCGCTCGCCCAGAGAACCGTGTAAATGCGGTTGAAGGGGTGAGGACGCAGACGCAGACGTTCGGTGCTGTTTGGCGCGAGGGACCAAAAGTAGACCAGAAATGGAGCTAGGAAATTGGGGTTCTGTTCGGGCTTACGGAAGGTATCAACGAGGTGGGCCTCGGCGACCACGGGGGCCTTTTGTGGCTCTGCGGCATCGGTCATTGTGGCGGCGGGGTGGTTTATGTGTGTGTGCTGCGTGCGTGCGTTTGTGTGTATTGTGTGCTGTTTATGAAGCGATGCGGGGTACTTTGTGCAGGCTTGTAGAGGTTCTGTCGAGCTTCGAGAGATCCGCTGGCGCTGCTAAGCTGTGAGAATCGTGCGACAGTCGTCCGTCTTTGCCGTCCTCGTCGTAAGAGAAGCAGTCCTGCTCGTGCAGTAATGATGGGAGGTCGCGCGCAAGCTGGGGTCGGAACTGGCGCAACTCTCCACAAGTCAAGCGTCGAGTCGCGTGTTGTCCTAGATAGGCGTTGCTGCAAAGCGGGTAGCGGCAGCAGAGAAAACAAGTCGACGTCCCAATGGGTGGTTCCCTTGAATCCTGTCCTCGTTGTGTTTGCTTTATGCGTATGTAATTGAGAGGGGAGATGTCCTAGAAATGTAGGAGTAATCGGAGATGGGTTGTGGAAGTGAAGAGAAGAGGAGGAGTAGGAGGAATTGGGAAAGACGAAGAGGATGTGAGTCGTAATTAAGAAGACCAGCTCTCCAGGTGACCGAGCCGCGAATTGGACGGGGGATAGGATTGCTTTTAATGGACGAATGGGGAGTTGGGACTTGTACTGGGAACGTCTGGTAAACGTGGACTCCCACTCCGGGCACGTCGACCGACAACTTGAGCCGGAGGCGCTGTTCGGGACCTGGGACGGTGCACCGCGTCAAGCTTGAGAGCTAAAAGGAAGCTTCCTTGTAACGACACTAGCCACTCACTCACTCACTCACTCCTCAGTACCGTACTCCGTACCTTGCCTTACCTTACACATACATACCCGTACATACATAGCTTCAGTCGCCAGTCACTACTCAAGTCTCACAGTACTTAAGTCACACTCATACAGCATCTCCGTTAGCCCAAGGTCCCAAATTTGGGCATTGTGCGGCGTGTCAGTGAATACAGCCAGGTCTCCATCTACAAGGAGCCCCATCCACGGTACGGAGCACATTCACGGATCATGGCACACTGCAGCGCAGGCCGATGATGTTATGGAGAAAAGGGACAAGCCATGCGGAAAGGGAAACTCCTTCAGCCCATCCCTTGCCCTCCATTGGTCATCATTTGCCATGGCACCCCGCAATCCCGTCCGCTTCCTGTAGCCTGTAGGCGGGCTGTGGCTGGTCCATCTCCGTACTCTGTACCGCTGTACCGTTACCGCTTGGCCGGGGGTTGAGCTGCGTCTTGCCTTTCCTTTGCCCCGAACCACCTGCGAACCCTCCCCTTCCCTGCAACCCCTCGCGTCCAACCCAGCTCCCAACACCGCGCAGACCTGCATCGTCCAGTCAAAGACGAGACGAATGTACCTTTTGACCCTTCTCCCCAGAGCCCAAGGACGCCAAGCTACCCGTCTCCAAACTCGCCAAAGGAGCCCGCCAGCCCGCCTGCCGTCCGCGCCTGGATGCTCCTGGGCCCGTCGGTTGGTCTTGGTCTGGGGGAGGGGAAGGGTTTCTGCGCTAATGAGAGACAAAAAAGACACAATTGGACCTCGCAACTGTGCCTTGCAAGTACTTTACCAAGTATCCGTAGCTCATCTGAATGCGACGAACTCTGTCCGCCTACCGATTAGATTCTCCCGTCGACCGGCCGAGCAAATTGAGCGCCCAATGACCCTGGTCCTGCTCGTGATCCATGGTAGCCTGTTATTGGGATGACGGTGACGACGTCCAAGAGCCTTCTCATAGTCTTGCGCTCATGTATACAAGTGACGATCCATTCGTTTTCACACCATCAGCGCTAGGGAGCCTGTCTTAAAACGGGGGCATCGCGTGTCAATCAGTGTCGGTACTGAAGTTGTCTCCTGCTCGTGCTCGTAAATAGCCTGTATGGATACCCTGACCGCCTAAAGTCGGCCCTATGATATATATCCATCGATTTACCACTGACCATGTCACTTCATCGAAGCAGGAGATATTGTGAGCCACCGTCTTGGTGGAGCTTTCTTCTTGCACCGCGGCTGTGAGTGTCGACATCTCTCATGGTCTTCTGTCTCGCTTTGTAGCCTGTCTTTTCGTGTCCTGGCCTGAACCCGCCGAGAATGCGCCAGTGGGATAAGTGGCGCCCATCACCCGACTTCTTCGTCCATCATCACCTTGGTTGCTTGAGTGGCCGAACCAGACCGAGGACAACCGGAAGCTCCAAGAATTTGTCAATGCGACAGACTGGTCTCCCGACGCTTTGCTGTCAAATCATTTTGGCGTCAAGCGAACGAGGCACCAAAGCTTGCCCCTCATCTGCCCAGCGTTCCCCGCACTCTTCTTCCCCAGCGGCGTCGAGTTTGCGCCTCATAGGTCTCCTACCTCCTAGGCTGACCGCATTGCGCCGCTATTCAGGAAGCCATGCGGCTGTCGCCCAGCCAAGTGTACGCCAGCCGAGGACGATGGATGCTGATCACGGCGCGCGACCCTTGAGTGCCGTGGTGTTCCGGCCTCCGTGATTGGCCACGACCCCAACGATGACATATTGATGATTGTGTTCTTTGGCTTGGCTCCCGCGACTTCTTGACGACCTTGCAACGACCACATCAATCCAGGTCCTCTCAAAGGCAGTGATGTTGTGCTTCAAACAAATGTATGCCGCTTGTATCGGAGCATCCAACGGGAGGTAACTTCAACAAAGTCGAGAATCGAACGGTCCCAGGGCTCCGCAGGCCCCGCTGTTCCTCGTAGGCATTTCGGGGTCTGGCATTGGGTCGGGATTCAACAAAGTCTCGCAGATTCCGGGGTCGTAATCCACCACACCTGCAGTCGCAATTTGTAACTGTCTTCTTTCTCCTTGCAGATTGTGGGTAATCTCTCAGGCTGCGCACTCGCGCTTGTTGCCGATTGTCCTTCGGAGGAGAGAAAATGCTCCCGAACCCACTGTGATGACTGTCGATGACTACAGTCCTATCATGCGGCATCTCCGACGTCGGCTGCGGTCCACAGAATAACCTACGGAGGCTGCCAAAGTACTCCGTACGTAGTACATTGGTACGAATAGTAGCATCCACTTGGGTGATCTGTTCTCCATGATACTAGAGTTGCATCGGAGCTATCATGGCCGCCGTCGAGGCCGCCGCCAGTTGGGGGAACCAAGTAACCTCCATCTGAAGTTGCAGGCAGCATGAGGAGGTTGGTTGTCGTATTGCTGCAGCATGGCATGGGCCTGTAGGCAAATGGAGGGGCACATCTGTACTAGCACCCTGCAGGCAGAAGAAAACCATTGATAGAAATTGCTGGTGTAGCGAGTGGTGGTGTGCGTGTGTGGTTGGAGGGGTTAAACGGAAGTCCCGCTCGTGCTTGCGCAGGTTCAAGAGAGGAAAAGAGACGCCCATGGATTCCTTGTAGTTGGATGCCATCCTCTGATGTAACACACAACAGGCAGGTGCTGTGTGCTGCCTGTCTTACCTAAGGCACCTGCATCATGTTTTTGTGTACCTGACGCCTGGCGCTGTCTTCTGGAAAAGTGGCTTGCCTCATATCAAGAGCCCTTTCCTCCAAAGAGGATACAAAAATACTGGTTCCTGTCGACTCTGTGAACATGATCGAATTGAAGAGATTCACGTTCCAGCTAGCAAATTTTGTCCAGCACCAAACGTGGCATGATGGCCTTCTGCAGTTAAACACCTCGCCTCCGCGTTTTCCCCCTCAGAACCCTTTCACCCAACCCTGGACTCCCCAGACAGCTCACTGACTTCCCGCATTTTACCCCGTGGGCACCCGGATATCCCATGTCCACCAGTCGAAGTACCTCAGTGAAGTATCGATACACTGGGGCAAGTGCGCGCCCGTGCTTGTGATGCGCTGTTTTAGTCGTGCTGCGTGCTGCCATTCCAGAAGGCCGGGTCCCTTGCCCGTCCTCACATTGACCCCCCCTGCTCCGTTGTTCTTACGCAGTACAGTACTATGCAGCATGTGTGAGACTGATTCCGACCTAACCTTTCCTTGCTCATCCGGGTCAGTCCACCTCCCGCCGTCTCATAGGATGGACGAATGGAAGTAGTCTTGGCATACCCGACACCCGCGGGGGAAGGCTTGGGCAAAACGCCGTCCCGCCGTCGTTGCCGCCGCATCTGTAATTTGTGGCCCGGGAAGGAGGGCTGGAGGGGTCTTCCTTCTTTACGGGAAACCCGGGCGAAGGATCCTTTCACATCTAAACGATTTGTGTGGAGAAGCACAAGGTACTGGTTACCTGTCCGTGTCAAAGAGCGAAGAAAAAATGCTGTTGCTTCAACCTTTGGTCGGGGTTTATTCTGGAAATCGGAGATACTCTCAAACGGGCCATTTAGGATAAATCACCGCGTCCTCCGAGCCTCGTGCGGCAGAATATGGATCTCTGGCATCTCCATATAAGCATGTGGGAATTTCGCCCTTTCTGTTGGGGAACTCCTGATGACAGATTGTTGAGTGCAAGCAAAAAAAGAAGAGGAGCCGTCCTAGCCGCTTGCGTGGTGACCTATCAGATTTACGCAATAGGTTCACTTGCATCTTGCGTGAGGCAGCATCGTCGCCTAAGCACCCAAGATACAGAAACTGACATTCTATCCTCGGTACCCTGGTCGGTCATCCTGACTGGAAGTATGGGCCCTGCCGTGAGGCTTTGCCGATCGATCATAAGTTACCACATGCATGCACTGCGGCTCCGAATGCTCTTGGAGACATTGGACGCTCGACTTACACTCATAAACATCCAATCGGACTGATGGCGAAACACATGAGAGACCCAGCTGGTTGGGAACCGCGAAGTGGACTTGTTTGCATTTTGGCACTGGCCTGGCGTGCCCGATAGTAGTAGAAGAAGTATGTGCCCCCGACATATGCCGCCTTGAACCCCTAAACGCCTCCTTTTGTATTATCCATTTTGCTCACAGCTCCATGCTCATCAAGTACATCTCCATGATCCTCATGAACTTGGCCACAAACGCTTCCAGGTGGAAGATGACCTTTGTGCCCATCCTGATCCGGTGCTCGTAGAATGCCGACCACCTGATCACCTCCGCCTTCAGGGCATCGTCGATCAACGCAATGAGCTTGAAGGTGAGCGTCTTGAGAATCGTGGTTGGCGGGATGCAGTGCGTGAGAAGGTCGTATAGCTTTGCTCGCACTTGGAGAATCCGTGCCGGCGTGTGCTCATCGACAATCTCCCTCGCTATTTGGCTGATGAGTGCCTCCCAGTCTGGCGGCGGGATTGGTGTGCTATCCGTGACTTTCTCACTGTTGGCTTGTTAGTTTCTGATCCTGCAAATGCCGTGCAAAGGTGTCCTACTTTTGTGCGTGGACAGCCTCGTACATGAGCAGAGCTCGTCGCAGATTCCTGCCACTCTCCTGCGCTATCCTCATATGCAGGCCCTTCACCATGGGCCAGTTTTCCTTCTTCGCTGACACTGCCAAAACCTCACAGATTTGTTCGTGGGTTGGTGCAGCTACTCGGACTAGCAATGTTCTCGATCGGATGGGGGCGATGATGTTTGCCGTCGAATTCGCTAGGAGGATCAATCGTAGGTTAGGAGAGTACTTCTCCATCGTGCGACGCAGCGCAGCCTGCGCATCTCTGGTAAGGTGGTCGGCCTCGTTGATGACCACGACCTTGAATCTTTGCTTTGCCGACTGATCGACCTGTTGTGTCTGTGCCACCTCCTTCAGCAGATCCTGAACGACAACTCTGTCGTAGTTTCCGACGTCTGACGGGGTGATCTCGAGGTGGTAGTTTGACGCGACAATGTTGAATTCGAGCTTGCGGTTACTCGACGTCTGGAAAACACGCGCATCGATCTTGATCTTCTCTACACCGGGTCCGTACAGCTCCTTCAGTGTGGCAACAATGCGTGTCTTCTTTCCAGCGCCGGACGGACCGTATACCAATAAATGGGGGAAATCTCCGCTCTGAGCCTGTAAAATGTGTGAGCAGCTGCCTAGGAGAGAGCAGATTTGTAGCTTCCTACCAGAGAGCCAAGACGGTCTGAAAGCTCCTGATGGTATGTCAGAGCATCTAGTGACCTTGGTCTATGTTTATCGACAATGAGCGCCATTTTGGTTGCTGTGATGTGGAAAACGCCGTGTTGAAGACCTGAAGTTGGCTGGCGGAGCGGGCTGCAGAGCGTGGGACTTTCTGGTGATGCGCTCTGAAAGAAGACGCGTTCGCGTTAAGTGGGAAATATCGAGGCGTGGCTGGTGGCATAGGCCCGTGCCCTCAAGCCACACATGACAGCTTTGAGGCATGCACCATTACTTGGCGCATAGTAACGACCCTCGAATTCATCCGACTCTATAAAGACCTATGCGTGCAAAAAACATGTTTCAATAATAATCCCAAGGTAGACTAATGATGGGTGTGAAAGGTATTTCCTTTATTTGTACAGTCGCAATGACATCTCCCCATCTGGTAAGGTCATCTATAGTACAGCCACTCCATGAACTTGAGATTGCGCTGAGCCTATCTCAAAGTTAAGAGCAGTAAATGTTACAATCATTTTCATCCAAAACTTTAGGGCGCTGCAGACGGCGTAGTGGTAGACGCCGCGCTGGTGGGCTTGCTCGTTGCCTCAGCCAGCAAGTCTTCAGGCGCAATCGCCTTTCTTGGTCTCTTCAGATCCTCCAACGTAACACCGTTCTCAAGTTTCGTAATACCAACAACAGGAGCCGCTCCCTTGTGTACAAACTCCCATTGACCTAGCATTAAATCAGTCTTGGCTGTGCTTCACGCGATTGGGAATGTACTCACCGGGCAACTTGTTACCCGCCAGACGGAAGGCATCCTTCGCAACAGCCTCGTGAAGCATTCCTCTGATCTCAAAAACGATCTGATTGACAGCAACACGCGCCGCCCAATGATCGAAAGAACCCTTTCCCTTACCCATACGCATCTAGTCCGGGAATCAGCACTTGACTATCGCCCATAATTCCTCAACATCAGCCTTACCTCGTTACCAGACACATATACACCAACGTTGCAGCACACTCTCTTGTACAGTCGGTACTTTTGACCACGTAATCTCATCTTAATCGTATCTTCAGCGTTCTTGAGCTGCTTGGCGCTGATTCTTCGGTGGTGATCCTTCATTCGGAGACCGTAGTCGCCCCAGATGACAGTCGTGCCCTTGGTCGATCCTCCCGTAGCCACGCGAGGACGTCCTTTCATCATCTTCTTCGTTCGGTCGATCGAGGGTTCGAGCCATGTGCCCTGCGCTGCAGGTGTCGTGGAAAACGGGCGGGCATCGCGGAGGATCTGGGATGCGACCAGCGGCTTCGTCAATTGAGGTCGGATCGCGGCCCTAAGAGGACTGACTGTCGGCGTCGTAGATATTCTGAGGCCTTGGAAGGCGCTGAGAAGCGCCGTAGGAGCGGTGGGCCTCATGTTTGCGACTTGCCGATGAACGTCGTTGATGATGCGATCTCCAAAAAAATGTCCCTAGCTTCACGAGAGCTTAGGTGTGGCTTGGATGGCCTGAGATGTTGGGCGATAATTTTGCTGAGGCTTTGCCTGGAGCTGCTGCGCCACAGCACTCTAAAGTGAACTGACCGGGGTCACGGACCTCGCGTCACTTTCGCGTAGCAACTGGAAATCCATTACGTGCACGCTTCCCGACTTGACGCCAGGCACGGCGACCTCGATTGGTCTTTTCGTCTGTCAACCTCCAACTTCCCTCCAGGCAACAGTAGGCCAACTTTCGATATAAACTTTTCGCTGCTTTCAACAATCACTCAACGGAAGACAGGTGACTGTACAAAACGCAATGCCTGATATCAGGTCATTCTTTGGGCCGAAGGGAGGCGGGCCCCCGAAGCCCTTGCCAAAAAAGGTCGAGGAGCCCCCAAAGGCCCGAAGGGGCAGGAAAGTCATCGAGGACAGCGACGATGATGCCGACCCTACTCCTGCGCCGTTAGTCGATTCCAAAACCCTGTAGTTGAAGACCAAGCTAACTCGTCCTAGAAAACCGGCAGCGAAAGCTGCTGTCAGGAAGAAGGCTAAGTACGCGAACTATATTGCCCTCTTCGTCGACTGCTTCTAATTCTGTAGCAGAGACGAGGCTGCTAAGGGAACCGAGACCACAGCCAGCGATTACTTTGCATCATCCAAATCTTCCAAGGCGGCTAAGCCTGCACCCGCCGCAAAGCCAGACCAAGCAACTAAAGTGAAGACCGAAGTCGAGATCAGGACCAGCCCACGCAACAAGAAGACTACTGCGAAACCTGTAGAAGTAACGCCCAAGAAGCGCGCCGCCAGGACATACACCAAGATCGAGTCCGACGACGATGCCGATGCTTACAAAGACGAAGACGATGAGGATGACGATGACATCTTTGCTGCTGATGTGAAGGGTCGCAACAAGCGAAAGACCGACGACTATGCGGAGGACGAGAGCGACGAGGATATTCAACCAAAACCGAAGCGTGTAGCCTCGCGAAGTGCCGCCAATGGCACCCCAAGCAAGAGCACAAGGGCAGCAGCTGGCACAAAGAGGCGCAAGACTCCTGACGAGGACGAGGAGGAAGAGGAGGAAGAGCAGCCGCCAAAAAAGAAGGCGCCCGCTAAGCCACGCGCTCCCAGGGCTAAAAAGGCAGACGAACCTGAAGATTCGGCTTATCAGTCGATCCTCGACAACATCCCCACTGTCCGCCCTCCGACACCTCCACCCCAGGACCCAAATGCCCCAAAGTTTGACTGGAGGAAGAATGCCGGTGGTGGAGGAAACAGCGCGGCTGTGCCTGCTAATGCAGGTGCCGCGGAACTGCCCGATGGCGAGGATGAATGTCTCTCTGGATTGACATTCGTCTTCACCGGTGTCCTTCAAACCATCGGCCGTGAGGAAGGTCAGGCGTTGGTCAAGAAGTACGGTGGCAAAATTACTGGAGCACCAAGTAGCAAGACCAGCTATGTCGTCCTGGGAGACGATGCAGGACCCAGTAAGCTGAAGAAGATCAGGGACATGAACATCAAAACCATCAACGAGGAGGGCCTGTTCGAACTCATCAGGAAATTGCCTGCCTATGGCGGCTCCGGCAAGGGTGCGGAGAAGGCGCGCGAGAAGAAGAAGAAAGACGAGGAGGCTATCAAGATCCAGGCAATGGAGATGGAGCGAGAAGAGAAGGCCCGGAAGGCTGCAGCAGAGAAGGCAGCCAAGCAAGCAGCCGCCGCTCGGGGGACTACAGTTGCCCCTGCCCCGACAGCAGCTCCAGTGCAGCTTTGGACATCAAAGTATGCGCCGACGGCACTCAATCATATCTGCGGCAACAAGGCGCAGGTCGAGAAGATCCAGGCTTGGTTGAGGAATTGGCAAAAGGCACGCAAGTACGACTTTCAACGGCGCGGCGCAGACGGTATGGGTGGCACGCGAGCTATCATAATCTCTGGTCCGCCCGGCATCGGCAAGACCACTGCAGCACACTTGGCTGCCAAACTCGAGGGCTTCGATGTCATTGAGAGCAACGCCAGTGACACTCGCAGTAAGAAATTAGTCGAAAATGGCGTCGCTGATATCATGAACAACACATCGCTTCTCGGCTTCTTTGCTGGAGACGGCAAGAAGGTTGACGGAGAAAAGAAGAACATTGTGTTGATTATGGACGAGGTCGACGGAATGTCCGCAGGAGATCGTGGTGGTGTTGGAGCCCTGGCTAAGTTCTGCAAAAAGACCGAGATTCCCCTCATTCTCATTTGCAATGAGCGGAAACTGCCAAAGATGAAGCCGTTTGACTTCGTCGCCATGGATGTTCCCTTCAGGCGCCCGACGGTAGAACAGGTCCGGTCCCGTATCATGACAATATGTCATCGCGAAGGCCTCAAGCTACCTGTGCCTGTTGTCGATGCCCTCATCGAAGGCAGCAACAAGGATATTCGGCAAATCATCAACATGATCTCCACCGCCAAGCTCGACCAAGCATCGATGAGCTACGACAAGGGCAAGGCAATGACCAAGGCATGGGAGAAACACGTCGTTCTCAAGCCTTGGGATATTTGCCAGAAGATGCTCGCTGGTGGTCTGTTCGCTCCCGCCAGCAAAACTACTTTGAATGAAAAGATCGAGCTATACTTCAACGACCATGAGTTCAGTTACCTGATGATCCAGGAAAACTACCTGCGCTCAAAGCCAATGGCACTTAACAACAGAGGTTACAACAAGAGGGAAGAGAACCTGAAGTACCTCGAATTGATAGATCAGGCGGCGGAGAGCATCAGTGATGGTGATCTGGTTGATCGAATGATTCACGGGCCTCAACAGCAATGGAGTCTCATGCCTACTCACGCCGTTTTCAGCACGGTTCGACCATCGAGCTTCGTTGCTGGCCAGCTCATGGGCTCCAACTTCACCTCCTGGCTCGGCAACAACAGCAAGACTGGTAAACTCGGTCGATTTGTCCGTGAGCTACACTCACACATGCGGTTGAGGTCATCTGGAGACGCCAATGAGGTTCGCCAGCAATATCTGCCTGTCTTGTGGGATCAGATGATACGCCGGTTGTCCGTCGAAGGCAAGGAATCTGTCGACGAGATTATCGAGCTGATGGACAGCTACTACTTGACACGAGACGACTTCGATGCGATTCAGGAGCTCGGCGTTGGTCCGCAAGCTGAGGGCCGGGCTGATATCGAATCCAAGACAAAAGCGGCATTCACGCGAACGTAAGTACTCGTGCTTCTTGCTATTCATTCTTAGCGCTAACAACTCTTCAGCTACAACGCAATGTCTCATCCTATCCCTTTCTTGAAGGCCAGCAATATCATGGAGCCCAAGAAGGTGGCGAAGGAGGCTCCGGATCTCGAAGAAGCTATTGAGGAGGACGATGATGCCGATGTTGCAGAACCTGCCGATGCGGGCGAGGAGGACGAGGACAAGATTGACTTGAAGAAGGACAAGCTAATCAAGGCGCCCAAACCGAAGGCTAAGAGAGCAACGAAGAAGGCCAAAGCAGGCGATGACGATGACGATGAAGATGAAGATGCCAAGCCTAAGAAGGGTAGGCCCAAGGCCAAGGCAACGACTGCCAAGGGAAAGGGCAAGAAGTAATGGCATAATGGTCGACAGATATCAATCTAGAGGCACCTTTTATCATGGGAGGAGAACGCCAGTGTTCACTGAGTTCGAGTGGGGCATCCATGGCAATTGTAGAATTATGAGGTTTAAATCAGGAATACCTACTGTTCTTTGAACACCTTTGATCAGCGGCTAGATATTGTATGAAGTCGTTTACCAATCACAAAATGATTTGAGGGATGTACATCATGAAAGGTAATCGGTGTAAAGTGGTGTGAGCGACAACGTCTGTGTAAGTTAATATGTGAGGAACCAGACTTGAGAATGACAGCTGCATTTTGACATCTTCATGAAAGGCAACTGTGAGTATTTGGTAGACAACGTTTTTGTGCAGCCCATCCATGGCCAGTGAATCCTTAAGGAGAGCTTCCTGCCAAAATAGGTTGTTCTTGAACCTTTGCCAGAATCCCCCGAACACACTCATCACCATCAGTACAAGGGGTAATGTCAACCATACACAAAACTTGAAAGGCACCCAACCAAGCTCCGAGTCCCTCATTTTTCAGCATTCCAAGTTTGAAGTGAGTACCTCTTGATGGCTTCGTTTTGTTACCTCGCCTTCCAAAAGCACGAAGCTAATCCAAAACGTTCGTTGCGCAGTCTGCCATATCAAATGATTCCTATCAGTTACAACGCTTACGTCCAACCGGCCGTCCATGATGTCGAGCGCTTTGGATCATCCCGCTTAGTCGTCGGAGGGGCTTCAAGCTTCAAGATGATGAATGAGAAGGATCAAAAGAAGCCCGGGTCCAAGAAGACGTTCCGGATTGCCGCAAAGGCCTTGAAGGGTGAATATCTCCTCCAACCCTAGACGCTTTACCTTCCTGATCTCACGATCTCTCGCCCCAACCACCCTCTGTTCATTCATTTTCCGATCCTTCCTCTTTTTTCTTCCAATCGAGTCCTGCTGAGCTTCATCCATCTTCCAATCTCGAGTGTTTGAGGCGTTTGTTTCTTCGGAAATACTCGAGAACACCTGATTGCCCTTCCTTCCCATACTCGGATCCTCGTTACCAACATTTTTTCATCGCTTCACAGTTGCTCATTATCTTCATCGCAGGTCTGGTATCGAAGGCAGCCTTCTCTCTCAAGAAGTCAAAGAGCTTCACTACTCTTAAGCGCCTGTCGAGAATGTCTTCTCGACGTGACCGCGGCCAGCACTCGCGCTCCAAGTCTGGTAAGTCATCCGACCTGCTCATCGATCTTTGGGCTGCTTTCAGCGCAAGTATGAACCGTATTCCTGACGAAGAAAAATAGCAAACAATATCGACACCGCGGGTACCCTCGAAGATCACAATCCCCATCGCCTTTCCATCATCGA